TGCTTTTAATCCACCCAGGGCTGAGCAAAGCCTTCTCCTCCAGGTGGAACACTCCTTATCGGGGTAACTATTGTACTCATTTCTGCTAATTTACGTCCTATTTATCAGCCACTGACATGCCGGAGAACTTTGCCAGAGGTGGCGCTGAGAAAAAAACGACTTTGGTGTCAGTTTGGAGGTAGGCCCTGCTGGCGCATTGCAAGAAGAAGAAAAAAAAAAAACTGCAAAAAAAAAAAAGAAAAAAAAAACATGTGGCACTGCTAAAAATACCTGCTTTTGAATCATTCACATCACAAACCACTTAGAGAACTCATGCATACTCATGACCTTATGCAGATATTTATCATCAAATTTGGGCAAGACAGGAACACTATTCATGAAATGATGCGGCCTGGCGGCTCTCCTGCAGCGTAATAAACTAATAAACATGAGAAGGGGAAGCGTCTGGAAGGGAGGATGACCCCCGACTGACGGCTCGGGGAAGTTTCAGTCAACTCACACTACATAGTTTAAAGTTTTCGGCAGCTTATTTGAATGCATAATTCAAGTGTTACTGAGAGATTTTAATGGCGCACACACTGAGGAACTGAACTACAGTAATTGCTGCTAAGTTGAACAAAAGCATTAACAGTAACATTCTACTCAAAGGCTACCAGAGCGCAATTCAGACATTGTAGACAAAAGAAAAAAGGAAGAGTAAATTTCCACCAAAGGTTTTCTCGAAAAACATGGAAATATCTGAGTTTGAAAAGTCAGACATTAGAGATTAATGTCAGTAAATTTCAAGAAAAAAACATGTACATTTCTGAGTCAAAAAGTTTCAAAAAGCAATTTCTTGAATACCAAAATGTCAAGTATTTGACATCACATCTTTCCAGACCTACATTAATTTATCTCCAACTCTGCTTCGTTCAAAATAATTGCATTTTAAACGTGTAGCAAAGCCGTTAAAAAAAGGAAAAAACTTGAAAAAAAAATGTCCTTTTTTATTTGGGGGAAAAGGTTTTGTCTCCAAGTACTTCCGCCTGTGCTGACTTTGGCCACAAACCGTTTCAACAGTTCTGCTTCTTGACTGTACAGATGGAAATGTTTGGTGAGATTTGACTAGTAACTTCAATTATTTGGAGTTGATCAACCAAAATTACCATTTCATTTGTTTATTTTCTATTTGTATTGTTATACTTGGCATCTGTCACATTACAGATGGGGAAAAAAAGCTATTTATATTGATTTGATCATTTTAATATATCAGACATCTGGCAGGGGTGTGCAGAGTTTGATGTTGACTGTACAGATGATATTTATCGTCTCTTTTAAGCCATTGGCGGAGTCGTCTTCTGATGCATGTGGTCCTTTGGCCTAATGAAATACATTCCATTATAATGCTGTAATGAATCAACAAGAGAAGATCAACTCAATCAAATTGAGGCAATAAATCCTTACGATTCTTTTAATCCATATTACAAGTATGTGACAGATGTGAAGGGCTGCAGAAATGGAAAAATACGCAGACACTGGTTTTACGCTGTACATGGTGAAAATGTCATCACATACTTTATCTTTGTTTTTGTTTTTTTTTGCAACATATTACACATTCTAAAAGATTGCCAAAATGAATGATGGTTCATAATGAGCAGATTTTGTGTTTATGTGATTGTACTTTACAGTCAGTGACAGAAATGCTGTATTTTGCCAACTGTGCAGATCCAGTTTTAGTGCTGACTATTTGGGCTGGTGTTGCATTATTGCAGCTTTACGATATGCATATTAATTCATCGTTAAAAAGCTTCATCAGCTTAAAAAGTTTACTTTGTGATGAAAACCTATTGGCACAAAATAAAACTTTACTGCAGTTCGGTCCCGTCGCCAGCACAGCAGAGGCTGTAAAATCGCTTCCAAAATCTATTGCTAGAAAACCGAGACGGGTGACCCGGGAGTCGTGAACTTGACTTGTTAGCCAGTGCAGAGCTAGCTCACTGAAAGCAGCAGGAAAAACACACAGAATATTGATTAGGCAAGCAAAACGTGCTAGCTACATCAAGTCCTGTTCTGTGCCAGCAGCATAGTTTACTGACGAAGACTTCAGGTTCTTACTTTTGCTGCCAAATAGGGAACCAGTCTTTCAAAAGAACCACAACCAGCTTCATTTTAAACATTTGGAAATATGTAATTTCAAAACAGATGGAAATGAGGTTACCAATGTGATAAAAGGACTATATGATTTGATTTGGCATCCAAAAAGAAATCAAATAACTCATCCTCTTCCTGTAACTGTCTTCATCTCAACATGACTCCTTTATTACCATTTTTTTTTTTTTTACATTTTTACCAGAGTTGGACAGAGAAGTAGCTCATATAATATGGAGCTCAGCAGAGATGTAGGTGTACATATGTACCAGGTGTCTGCTAATTGCGTCTGGCTAGTCTGAAGGAGCTGAGAGGGAGAAACTTGAGAGAGGGCTACTCTTAAAATCTGTTAAAAGTAGTGCTACTCTTACTTGAGTACAATCTTTGGGTGCTCAACCCACTTCTGCTTGGACTGGGTGGGTCAAAGTAAGGTAAAGGCCGCTCTCGCTGCACGTGCCTTGTGTGAATAAACAATCAGACTGAAAGGCAGCTGTTCCTGTCACGTTCCAGAAACTTCCTCCAAGCGGAGAGAGCCGGTCGGCACCGAGCGCGTGCAGCATGACATGCGGCAGGAGGAAAGCTAGCTGCGTGTTCAGAGGAGGGAAAGCGGGACAGCCCCAGGAGTCACTCCAAAATGAGGAAAAAACACACATCAGCACGTGTCCCTGTCTCTCCCTCTCAGGTGGTTTATGAAGCCCGGAAGTTATTCAGCCTGATTTGCACCACAATACCGTTTTCACTGCTCTGCTGGGGGGATTGCTGCGGCGTCAGTGTGACGGTGCCGCCCTCTGCAGGGCGGAAGTGGTAATGCAGGAGCATAATCTCCATTGAAATATCTGAACTGATTTTAAAAAGGCTTTTCTAAAGAGAAAAAAACACATCTTTGAAGTGAAAACAAGCAGAAAACCGAGAGAGACAAAAAATATCTCTGTGTTTGATGATAGGTTCATACATGCATGTGATTTATTTGGCAGGCTAATAAATTCACCAACATAAATATATATAAATAATAGCTGCAACTTCTTTATCGTTTTCCTCCATTCTTCCTATTAGCCTGCTATAAATAGAAGTCCATTTGGAGTCACAGCTGGTGCTGTTTCCTCCCATCTGCACTGTACAACAACTACAGTACACAGCATTAGTTAATGCACACACACCTACACACACTATGGGCTATGCTTTAACCTTGCCAGCTGAACCTCATTCTATATGGCACGGCATCATTTGGTGATCCACAATTAACTCTGGAGATACTAGAAAGTCCATGTCTGACTCAGATAAGACAAAAAAACTGATTATTTATGTCTGCCTTCAGTCATACCAGGTATACAGGGAGTCTTTACTTCATTTGCTTACTGATAAATGCTTCAAATATTGAGAGCTGAGTGGAGATACTTGAGACAGTTTTTGTGATTTAATATCTGCAAAATTAATTTTAAAAAAACCCTCAAGGTTAGGTCATTTTCAAAGGATATCAACATGTCACAAAGTTAGGATTGTAGAAGTTATTTGTTTAGGCAAGAGTGACATGCTGGTTGTTTATTTTCTTACTTTACAGAAAATTTGAAATTGGCTAAAATTGGTACCGACAGGTCAAAGTTTCTGAAAGTCCAGAGATCAGAAAACTGTCACAAAGCCCTCATCAGTACACCTCTACCTGAAATCCCAATGTACGTCTCCATTCTAATGCCTAAACAGTCAAAGTAAAGGTGCTAGAGTGAGATGATAAGGGTGATAAAATGTTCAACAGCAGAACGATTGGATAAAAAAAGCGAGCCTTCTTGTGTGTGACATTGACCACATCTCATAACCGGCCTAACGAGGCTTTTAGGTACCCAGTGTCAGATTTAATAAGCTGTGACAAAGTTGGAAAGGCCATAATCGTGATGAAGGTTTCATTAAGGATAAAGCCTTCTGAACATGTGTGGAATTTCCAATAACAGTCAGCAGGAAGATAAAGTCACTGTAGAAAAAAATAAAAATTCTCCTCACAATCCAACCACATAAGAGTCCTTTCTCTGATACTGGACATCAACATTTGTTTTCACCCCAACTCTCAAACTGTTTTGACCAACAGTTTCAAAACTCTACATTAAAAAGCTTCATACTTTAAGATGTTAATGCAGAACGATCATATTAACATTGAGTAATTAGTTGAAATATGCATGCAAAAACCTTCATGAGGGTGTTTGAGTTTTTATCACTTCCAAGACAAAGGCGTCATGTTTGTCATGCCATACTCCTGATTCTGTCACTCCAGTCCACACAGGACAATGGTCGTAAGAGAGATGGATTGCTGACAAATGACAAATAAAACCTCAAACATCTTACTTGGACTTTATCAGCTCTGGAAACAATGCAAGCCAGTTCTTGTTTTTACCGAACCAAAGCACACCAAATTTCACAGCACATGTTGTCAAAGTTGCCAAAGTCAAGCTAGCATAGCTGACCTACTTTCCTGTTAACAAGATTTTTTTTTTTCAATTACAACTTTTTCCTCACATGCAAAATGTAACTCCTGGAAATGATCTAATTATCATAATGTTGACAACTGGTAGTTCCATAAAAGTTTTTACAGATATCCTCCTGTGCTCAGTCTAAGTAACTGTAACCCAACTGAGATGCCTTTGATTATTTCATCAAGGGTCAAGCAATCACAAAAATTTATACTAGTAGGTGAAACAAGCAGTGTACTGTCTGTTTGCTCTGGTAGCAAGTGGATACAGCTGGCAGGCACAAAATGGAAACACACAGACACATTTTCACCATAAATGGAATGTGAAGTTTGCGTCCAAATGCTCTGAAACTATTTGGAAACATCGCTGTGGTCAGTCCATATCAAAACGTTTGATTCAAACCTTGTGACGTCCTACCTGTGTGACTTTCTCGGTGACGTTGTGAGTCCTGTCAATGAGCTTGCAGGGGGCTATGATGTCCATCTCTCCAGAGGGCAGGGCGATGAGGGGGTCCGGTTTGAAATCCACAAAGTTGAGGGTGATTTGGGGAATTTTGGATATCGTACGGTACCGCATGAGGTCCGAGTCCGAAGTGGAGTTCAGTATGTTAGACTTGCTGTTTACAGCCCCTGCAGAGAAGCACACCAGGTCAGGATAAAAGCTTCAGGAGGTAACTTCTATAAAAATTTATTTTTTGCTAGTGCTGTCAATCGAATGAAAAAAAATTAAACAGATTAATCACATCCTAAAGCAGTAATTAATCATGATTAATCAGTGATTAATCAGTATTGCCATGTGCAGAAATACAACCAATCAGAGCCAGGAGTAACATCTTAGCAGTGTCAGTCATACTTATATACATACTGCTCACACACTTTTCACCAATCAGCAGGAAACACTGTTTAACTTCAACGTTGCTGCTGTCTGCAGCTGTGCTAATGGTGGAGAAACAGTGGGAGTTCTCAATGGAGGAGTTGTCGGCAGGTTCCTGTGTAGGGGAGGAGCTGTGGATGCTTGGCATCCACAGCAGAGAGCAAGTGGGAGGGGCCTGTAGGGTCTGCTTGTTCAAATTTTCAGGCTAAGCCCTTTCTCAACACTCATGACTCCAGACATTAGGAAAGGGCCCTGTGACGTCGCACCACCTCTGTACTCACCAGTGCTGCTGCTGGCTGGCCGGACGCTGGCCCTCCGGTTCTTCCGGTCCCACTCGGGCCTCAGGGCCTCAATCTCGTCCACGGAGGAGGCGCGCCGCATGCTGTGGAAGCTTTCCCGCGAGCGGCTGTGCGTCAGGGAGCAATTGGAGCACGAGGCGTCCGGGTTAAGGCTGAGGCGGTGGCGGGCCACGACACAGGGGGTCGACTGGTTGAGGGGTCCAACCAAGTGGACTACTTGAGGAGGCAGCCTGGGGAGGGGAATGGAGATCTCCGGACACAGGAGGGTGTGTTGGTCCTCCTGGTGATCCTCCGGCCACTTCTGCAGAGCTGACCTAGAATCAACCAAACAAGATTAAACATCAGACCTCATGCTTACAGAAAGCATACATAAAACATCTCTTCATGCCTCACATATGTGTTTCTACAGTAATCCGGAGGACTGTACCTGCTTCCACTGAGCTGCTCCTGGTGGTCTGGGGGCAAGAGAGGCAGGGGCAGGAACTCGGCCAGGCCAAGAGACTCAGGACTGTGGTCCGGATGCAGCGCCAGGGGCGTGGCAGTGGGGATGTGGCCGGCCTCCGCGTCGTCCAGTGATGCCTTGCTGTTGGACAGGGAGCGGAGCTGGGGGAGACGCAGCTTGAAGCCTCGTGGGCGACCTGGGCAGAGGGAGGATAAAACTGGCTGCCAACCTGCTGTGTGGCAAGTGGATTTAAAACCAGAGGTGGAGTTGATGCAGGAGAGAGGGAGGATTGGAGATGGATCACATGTGGGATGGCAACATTGATGGGATTGCCGTTCCAGTCAGAAATAATCTGAAAGATTATTTGGTGGACTCATAATACAAGCTCTGTGCTGCAAGCCAATAAACATCAATACTCAGAGTTCAGAAGAATAAAAGTCTAAATCTAATGTCTGTTACATGTTCATAAATTGTGTATGAACATGAGCGACATCCTGAAGTTATGGATGCCAGTTTGATGACATCACTCAGTTTGCCTGAAATGTCTTGGTATAGTTGTTCGTTGCGGGTTGCCTCTTCTAGTTGACATTATTTGCGCTCTTCCGCCACAAATGATAAAAAAGTTTGGACCTCAGAGTTTGACCATGGAATTATTAAATTGCAGCTTGCTGTCTCACACACTAAAACAATGTCATCACAGATTGATTGAGATGTTGTTGTTTGTGAAAGAATCCGTGGTCCAATCAACGAATGCAGTTTGCCGCCAATCAAACAGCCTAAATTACTGGTCATGGTCCACAGAAAAAAAAGACTGAAACTGTATTAGGGCCTTTTTGTTCCTGGTTTAAAAGAACACAAAGAGAGCATGCATGAAAACACTGACCTGTAACAAGCCAGGTGGGCAGGCGGTGGTTCAGCTCCTGTTTGTGGTCCTTCAGTGCGTCTTCAGTCATGACCTCGAAGTTCAGGATGAACATGATCACCACACCATCCTCGTTCTTCACCGGCACCACGTCCACCATGCACAGGAAACACTGGCCTGCAGAGACAGCGCCAACACGCAGACCCGTTTGGTTGGTCAACTCCACTTGACCAACCTAATGGTCAAATTGCATATGGGATTGATTGATCTAGAAACACAGCTTTTAGGTAATCCATGCATCTTAAGTACTAAGAAATTAGACTTGGGGAGAGAAAAATGTTCTGCTCACAAATAAAAAAAAAAAAAAACATATTTTTTTTTAATTGTCACTATGACAGATAATCTGTGAAAAGATCAAGCTAACCTGCCTTCTCCCGGTCCCAACTAAAATCAACCAATCACAGCTAAGAGGCGGGTCTTAGTGTTGTCAATCACCTCTGGCATGCACTGCAGCTTTAAGAGTGAATCTGTGCCTCTTCCTCTCATAGACTCGTTACACCAGGAGACAAGGCGCAGTCTCCAATCTGCTGGGAATGTTAAAGCTGCCAGGTAAGCATGAAATTAGACTGAGGGTGGGAATAAGTAGCTGAGCTCAACACACAACACAAAAGAGCTTAATTGGAAGTCAAATGATGAGTCTATTATTCTTATCTTTTAAGATAAAAAACATGAAATCATCACAACGCACACAAACAGACCAAACGATGATATAAAACTGAAAAAGTCACAACCAAAAGTCAACCCGTTTGACTTTCCCCCGCAAAGTCAAACGGGGGAAGATTTCAAATGGAACAACCGTCTCCAACTAATTCTCTCAAATTTCACCTGGATGCATTTTGAGTTTGTGAGGAGAAAAGCTTTTGAAGGCTTCTGGTGCAGTTCTTCACAGTCCCAAGAACTCCATCAGAAGAAAACAAAAACAAAAAACAGAACTTGTAATCCTCATCCTTGGTTCTGTTATCTCGTCCCATCCCCCCATACCCGTCCAATCTCTTACCTGGACAGATAATCGCCACCACAGTAGTTATGGCAACACTTCAAGTCAGTCCCATGTGCCGTACCGGCCAATACGGAGCGTATCTACGGCAACCCAGCTTCGCCCGCCGTTCTTCCTGCCATGCATCTCGCATCATCAGCGCGGAGTGGGACAAAATCCTATTGGACAGCAGCTCTAATCCCGACACAGTGGGGGGGTAAATATGAAATGCTGGAAAAACTAGAGGATTAAACCATCTGGCCTCCATCAGCAGCAGTTGTGCATGTCGGTCCGCATACATCCATGCTTTAACAAAGGCGTGGGCATCGGACAAAGCTGAAGCCCATTCATCATCCTGGATCATGTTCATTCATGCCCGGTTTTTGCAGCTGTGAAAATGCATTTGCAGACTTGTTTTAATTACTGGATGTGTTGCTGAGTCAGGCTGAGAGCTGCAGACACCTGACTGTGGAACATCCACAACAAAACATCAGCACATCGGGCAGCAGCCCAGTTCTATGGCTCTTAACTTTGTCCTATAAGTTTCAAACTTGACTTCTGTTTTACTGTCTTCTGGTGTTTCATCGGTTTTGATTCTGTACTGTTTATTTTGTCATGATTCCTTGTAACTGTTCAGCATTAATTATTGCAAAACTTTGACTGCACACAAATATGACCAGTGAGCTGGCAGTTATACAACACTGTGCAGAAATGTCTGGAAATGAGTAAACCCACCGTACTTCCTCCTTCATCCATCTAGAACGCTTTAAAAAACCTAAGAAGAAAGTGTGAGACTAATATATCCTGACCTGTTTTACTGTAATATTCAATAAGTTAGAACATACATAATAACTATTTAAAAAAAAGGCATTTAAGGACGTTTTAAAGTCACGTTTCATTAAGAAATGTGTTATTTTTAGTTATTGGTTATTTTTTATTGATTGAATGTAATATTCTAATTTTAATTGTTTTCATTATCTGTTCATGAAAGATCATAATTAACAGAAAATGAAGCCTTAGAAACACATTGTGATGCAGAAAAAAAATTACTTTATGCTCCTCTACCATAAAACTCCAAACACAGACAAAGTGCTCCCTCCATATGTCTGGGCAAACCCAGACTTCCACCTATAGCTGCTTCTGACAAATTCAACCTATTCCAAATTGCCTGCTGCATTGTAAAAACCTCTGAACATACAAGCTCTGCACACACCAGCTGTACAGGTCCTCCAACCACCAGAACCAAACCAGGGATCCACAAACATTCACTCGAATCGAGACTTTTGACAACAACAGATGTGCTTTGTACAGAAGCACATGTAACATGTGCACAACGCAACACTACAATGCCAGGTCAAAGGTCAAGAAATGAGGATTTGAGTAGATTTAGAAGGAATAGGATAAGTTCTAAATCTGCAGCATCCTGTCAGACAGTTCTGTTCTACTTATGTGTGTGTGTGGGCAGTTCTCCAAATAAATACATTCATGCCAAGTTGCATTCATCAATGCATCAGATGCATGCGCTCATACAGATTTATCTGCTGTGTGGGGGTGTGTGTGTGTCTGCATGTGTGTGTGTGTGAGTGCGTGGGGGTGCGTGTGTGTGTGTGTTGTCCTGGATTTGTGGAGAGGTGAAAAGCTGCGATTAAGCCCACATATTTTCTGACCTATTTGTTGCTGACCGTCACGCCAGCGCTCCGCGGCGTGAAAGATTTCCTCCAAGTGCATCTGGAGTGAATGAACTCCGCCGAGGGGTGAAGAACTAGAAAGCCATTTCGTTTAAAAGCCCTCCAGGGAGGTATTCCAATTCTGCATGTTCTAGTTGATAATCTGATTCGGCGTTACCGATTTACAAAGCTGGAGGAGATTATAGCAACACACACACAAATGCAGAGGACACACAGAACAACAACAAAATGCTTTTATAGAAATAAACCCAGAAGTTTTTATAAAGGAGCTGAAAGTTCAGAATCTGGGAAAAGGTGAGAGAACAGTGAGGATTTATTCTATGTGTAACAGCACTCTGTAAGCCTTTCTCTTGAACTTCTTTTTATCACAGATAAAGTTATACATTGCTTCCTATTGATGTTTTTTTACCAGTAGAAATCTAAAATGTGGAGCATACATATTTTATTCATCCCTGAGTCAATAATTCATAAATGTTTGAACCAGGTTTCTGCCTGCAAAGACCAGAGATGTGAATCTTTCATTGTCTAAAGATTCGATTTTTAGGATCACAATTTGACTCAAACAATTTTCAAATCAGAAACCGATTTTTCTATTCAAATGGTTTAGAGATTCATTTATAAGACTGAGAAAAGGAAAAGCCAGTGTAAACATAATTGACACATATTTAAAACAAATTTCAGCATTTACATTTAAACAAAAATAGGTTTGTGCAGAATGAAGTTATGCTTAGCTGCCTGGCTTTTTCAAAGAATCATCCAAAATATAATTGAGCAAAAAAAGAAAACTGAAATCAATTTCTGAGCCGTTTGAATCATTTCATTAATGTGACAATCAGAAATTATGAGTTTCTGTAGAAAATATATTTTTTTTTTGCATCTCTACTATAGATCAATATTGTTTTTTATCCATTTGTCAATGAGCTCACCTCAGTCAGATTGGCTGAAGAGGATTTATCATTTTCACATTTTTCCAAAAATTCTCAATGGTATTCTTGTCTGGACTTTAACTAGACCATTAGAAGGCATGATTGTGCTTTTATCTGAACCATTCTGGTTAAGTGTCTTTTTTTATTCAATATTTTTCCTGAGTTTCACTGTATGAGAGGTAATCAGTAGTTCGGTGCTTTCAGTAAGTCAACTGCATGTTGTGAAATAGTTTATTTTAAACCAAATCAACCCGAGGAAGGAGAAACTTTGTGGAATTGAAAAAGAAAATATGGACTTCTAAATAAAATTTTTAAAGAAGTGCATTTATAAATCAGAGTTTGACTATTTATTGCAAAAAAATATTTTTTGCTTGACATAAATAATAACTAAACTGGATGTTTTCTTCAGTTCTGCCACTCTGTGAACTCCTTCTCAAACTGTGCAGTTGCTCCATCTGGTGGATAATAGTCGCCTCTACATATTTTTCAGTTAGATTTTCCTGATCACGAATGGATTTTTAATTGCCTGTTCCTCATCAGACATGTTAAAACTCACATATTTAAAAGAAAGCAAAAAAAAAAACTATTGAGAATGTTTCAGTGTTATCTTTTATTAGGCTAAAGAAACAATATGTGCATGCATTTTCATAAAAATGGCCAATATGTGCATATATTGTTCTTATATTCTTTAAATCTAAATTTTTGATATTTTTATTTAAAGTTTGTACACTGACTGCAAACTGAAGTCAAATTCCATGTTTGTGCAACAATCTTGGCCAATAAAGCTGATTTTGATTCTTCATTTTAATGTGATGGAGGCTCTTCAGCTGAACTTCCTGTGTGATTCTGTGTTTCTGTGGCTCGTTCAGAAGTTTGTTGTGGTCCGGATCGGACCGGCAGTTAGTTCAGAGAAAATGGTTTCCCAACAGCATTAAAATTGTCCACCTCAGAATAAAGAGAATTAAACCCTCCAAACCAGATTTAGTGCATTATATAATAAAGTGGGTAATATGACGACTGACATAAACATATCTCATTTATTACAAAGACAGATGGAGCTTTTTTTTTTTGAGTCATTCAGAAATTCAACACTATTAGGTTTTAATCTGTTCAATTACTCCCTTTTATAAATGTCTATCTATACATCAAACATTTCTATATTTGAACAATTTTTGATCAAAAATAGAAACAATTAAATTAACTGCTAAATCACCATAAGGTAATTGCTGACAAAAAGCAAAGGTTTAGAGACCTACAGCAGTGACAGACTGGTCTTGCACCGCTGACTTTCTTTTCCAAGTTGGCTTGGAAAAGATGTCAACATTACAACAGCTTCTAACTTTGTTGATTTCATGCAAGCTTTTCTTCTTACTTTTTGAACAATGGCTTACCAAAATAAACTGCTAATAATTTAATAAAGTCAGTAACAGGTTCAACATCTTTCGTAATTCCTTTTGAACTCCAGAGCAGAACTCCAACGTGGCCACACAGAGCGGACCCGCTCCAGGTGTTGGGGCTATAAATGAC